AAGGGAACATTTGGGTAGTTCCAAACAATAAGGATTTTGCACGAAGCATGAGACTTATCCTTAAGTTTCAACTCCAACCATCTATAGGAGGAGGCATCTTTGAACCAAGTGGATCATCAGAGCACCTACCTTCAGAATTCAGAGGCCTTCAAGTTATATTAGCTGATTATGATGACTTCAATAGGGCTGTGACACGAAAGCTCCTTGAGAAGCTCGGTCGTCAATTTACTATTGTTTCCTCTGGGTTTGAATGCCTTGGTGCTCTTGGGCCCTCTGGAACTTCATTTCACATCATTCTTTTGGACCTCAATGTGCCCGAGATGGATGGCTTTGAAGTTGCAACTAGAGTCCCAAAGTTCCAAAGCCGGAGCTGGCTATTGATTATATAGGTCACATATGAAAAAACTCTAATATACAGGTTTCATATAACAATCTTCCATATGCTCCTCTACAGAAATCATGTTTATGGGAAAATTCCATTTTTATTTTTTAAATGTCCGCTTTTATTTACAAAAAATAATTTTATATTAGATTTTAGTTTTAGTTTATTTTTGTTCTACTTTTACAGTTTAAACTTTTAATAGTTTTACTAGTATTAATCAATAATAATTATTTAAAAACTTACATTCAGTTAAATTAATTAATTAATTACTTCCGTTTCATTACATTAAGTGATATTTATTAACTCTATAAATAATCTTTCTCAATACATGATTTTAATCGTAATCTTGGTAATTGCCCGTGCTTAGCACGGGCGCCCCTCGCTAGTTTGTTATTACACTATTTTAGGGATGCAATTTGGGCGGGTTAGATCTGGTTGAGGTTCAACCCAGGTCCAACCTTAACCTAATACAATTCAAACTGGGCTTTTGTTTGGGTAGGTTGAGCTAGGTTTAGTTGGGTTTGGGTGATTAGTTGGGTTTAAGAATTTATAAATATCTTTTGCATGGACATCTTTTGTTGGGTTTTATGACTCAATTTAGGAGTAAAATTAATTGAAAACACATGCATATTTTATACATGGATTTGATTATTATATCGAAAATACATGATATCAGAAAAAACTTACAACCAATGAATTGGTATCAATGGATCGGACCATGATCCGATTCAATCCAATATTGATATAAGAAGATTCCATCCGATATATGTTATATATTTATAGATATAAATATAAATATATATAATGCATATATATTATTTATATATTTATAAATATATTATTTATATTGTATTTTTATAAATTTGTTATATTATTTATTTTTATAAAAAACATGTATATATGATGAAAATAATTAAAAAAGATGTGTATTTTTTTTGCTTTTTATTTATTTAAATTGGTATATTTTATTTTCTTTAAATAATTTATTATTTTTTAAAGAAAACACGTCGGACTGGATCAAATCCAAAGAGCTGACTTATTGATAGGATTTGAATTCAAATTGAGGCCTATCAGATTCGATCGGATCCAACATAAATAGTGTTAGATCGGACTTAGATATACCTTAATTCAAATTCAATCCAATCTTTTGCATCGCTAGTAACTAATCAAGTGGTCTTTTCATTATAATGTATTTTCCAGCAACATAGAATTTTCCTTTATACATATGTGTATATATAGTTAAAAAAAATAAAAAGATATTTTTATATAAACAAAATACATGCATTTATGCATTTTAATGGGTTGTTTCGGGATGGATCAGGTCTCATTGAGTCGAACTTGGGCTACTAAGACCTCAATTGTATGAAAGTGTAGAATATTGCCGGTTATTGGGCATGGGTGATGATGGTGTGTGATATGTAATTCTTTGCTGGAGGACAATTCAAACATCGGTTAATGAGGTCAGAAAACCGAGTTGCAAGAAAAATAGTGTCAAAGTACTCGGGGTGCTTTGCCTGAGGTGGGCACTCCAATGCTTAAGTCAACGATGAGAGTGAAAAGAGAGCAAAGAGCTTATAATGCAAGAGTGAATTTAGTACACAGTCATGCATGTCTTCTCTAGGTGAATGAGGTGTCTTTATATAGGCATTAGTCTCATGTAGTGCGTCTGAGATCTCTAAGGTATAGTGGCTTATCGGCCTGCCATCATCAGAGATGGTTCTAACGGATGGCGATAAAGCTTATTCAATTATTTCCAAAGCAGGCGGCACAAAACTCAGCTCTATCAGTCAATCAATATGGCCTTCGAGGAATCTTTAGAGGAATCAAAGACAATAAACCACACGTAGCAGGAGTCGATCACTACATCACATAGGTCGCCACCTCGAACCTCGGTCAAGTCAATGAGTACTTGGCAATAAGTCAACCCTCCTGCCAAGGTCTCCTAGCCGAAGTGATGCTAGGTTCTCGCAATAGTCTCTCGAGGCATTCAAGATGTGTCCGAAGTGGAGCCAAGGTCGTTCCGATTGACCTAATTAAGATCAGTCACTACCCATGTAGCGCTGAAATGTTATACAACGGTTTGGGAGTGCCGCATGGTGAAAGTTGTTGAGGGCGAAATTACCCCTCATCAAATGCATATATAGACATACTTCTTTATTCCCTCATTGATATGACAATATATTCATGATGATTCTCAACTTGAACCACCAAATATCTCCGAGTGGCATGTATTATAGAAACAGAAATAAACTAAACCTCGGAAAGAGTGACAAAAGGACATACTTCTACATAAAGAGAATTCATTTTGAAGCCCAGTCAGCCATCTCCCAGCAGAGAATTCTCTTTCTTTTTAAAATTTTATTCGTTTAGGCAGTCTTCGGCACTGTGTTCATCTCGTAGATGAGACTGTTCATAGGATGAATACCTGTTTGATTGGGACACCCCAATATAGCGTGGACAAGTCCTGTTCACATTCCAATATATTGTCAATGGGAAAAACTTGTAGATACGTCCCGTCCAAAGTTTATTTTTGATCCCATGCTTTAAGGAGCAGGGATCAGAGGCTGTGTGATTTAAGACAGACTGCAGATACCTAGAAATATACCTTCAGTTTTATCTCTGAAATTCCTGTAGTTGCATTTCGGCTGTATGATCTAAAATATTAATTATTTTACTTATTTTTTAATTTTTATAAAGTTTTAATGTTTTTATCAACAAAATAATATTTTTAAATATTTAAAAAATATTTTTTAATTTTTAATTATTTTACTATTGTTTTATAAAAAATTAATATTTATTGCAAGGTTTTTAAAATTGGCCCGGAGAACGAACTGGTCAAGGGTCCGGTTCCCGAGTCGAACAGTCCAACCATTCGAACTGAACCCAATCGTTCGAACCAAACGGTCGACCTATTCAGACAAAAAAATAAAAAAATAAAAAAAAATGGTCAAAACCATTGAACGGTTCAACCACTTGGGTCAGCGGTCTGCTAACCAAATCAATGTTTTTTTTTTTGCAAATTTTTGGTTTTGGAGAAAAATGGAACTGGTCACCTGATCGATTCCCAGTTTTTTCGGTTCGATTGTCCAGTCCGGTCCGATTTCAAAAACTATGATTTATTGGTTAATATTAATTCATTGATGCATTTTTTAAAATATTTATCATATAAAATGCAAAAATTAGATATTTATGATTAACTGTGTATATCATTCATAAAATGTATATGAAATACATGGAATAAAAAAAGTGTGGTGTGGACTGGTCCACACCACACAACAGAATACCACTATGAGTGTGGACTGGTCTAGTCCACAGAATTTGTCCACAGTTCAAAACAGTTGTGGACTGTAGTGCGGTGTGGATTGGTCCTTGCCACAAGGTGTGGTGTGGAACAATCCACACTCACCAATTTCTCATCCACACTACAGAACACCCCCTTAATTTCCCAATTCCCAATTCACCCAACATCCATTTTGTTTCCTAGTGCTTATCCCTCTAATAACCTCTTTTGTTAAGTGTCCGTTTGGTTTATGGTCAGAATCAGAATGGGAATGGAAATTGAAATCAGTAGGAATGGGATTTCATTCCTAAGAGAGGGGAAAGGAATGGTCATTTCAACAAGAATGGGAATGGGATTCTGATTCCATCCAACTAAACAATTAGAATTGGAATAGCCCATTCCAATTTTGATTCCAAACCCCTATTCCCACAAATCAAAGGGGCCTAAGTTTCTTTCATGGTTTGATAGTCCCCAAGAAATTAGGGATAGAGGACCATGTTTTGGAGCGATTATGTTTTATGGCATACTTGGTGACAATGTTTTCAACTTGCCATTGACCCGATCGATCGAACCGTTAGAATCATCACCTAGCTAGGATTTCGGGTCTGGTTTAGTCAAGACCCGTTAGACGGTCAAAAACAGTTGACTTGGTCAAGAACTGTTTGACCTGGCCGGTTGAACCGTTGACCCATTCGACCTAGTGATTGGGTTCGCGGGTTGCACACTCAATACATGCAAAACTATCGGAGGCCATAACTTTGCACTCCGATGTCTAATTAGGGTGATTTTTTTTGGTAACTTTTCGAGATCTATGCATCCCAAGGAGCCATAGTCGCATTTCCCCACTATTTTTGTGAAAAATTCCTTTTTTGGCCTCAAATTGCAATTTTTAATATT